TAACATAAGTTCCTTATTAATTCTGACCTTTATGTATATCAATATTTTATAAGCACTCAAAATAGAAAAAGTTAAAAATAAATTAATTTGTCATAAGATGTGTATAAGAGACAGGAATAGAGATCATCATAGATATTAATCGATTGTCGCCTTTTTATATTTTGTAAGCAACTCAAACACGAAAAAGTTAAAAATAAATTAAAAAAAAGGAAAAAAATTAAATTAAATAAAACATTAAAAAATAAAAAATTAATTTCAAAAAATGTAGATGTGTATAAGAGACAGGGTCGACTACTTTTTGCCATTTTTCTGCTAAGGACATTATTCCATCAGTGTAAATCGAGATTTCGAAATTTCCAGAACGGAAGCGACCGAACCATTGTTGTGCTACATACAGCATTGTCTCCGTAAACTTCACAAATTTCCTTGGTGGCTCGCGTGGCATTCTTTCCACTTTTATACAAAAATTTTAAAATATAGCGAATTTCTTCACTATTTTCACTCATTTTTGAATAGACCTATTGTTTTCAACTTCACCGAATTGAATTTTTCTTTTTTGGTTAAATGAACGTTTCCAACGCTATATGGTATGGCACAATGTGATTTGTAGCAGTGGAGATAAGTTAAAAAATGTTTAGTTAGCTCTTTTTTTGTTTTTTGGGAGCAATGCTCCTTTAATTCTGTGCACGAACTGAATTTTACAATTATTTCCGCTTAACTCCAAACCTATGTTTGCCACAGCAACGGGTGTGGCGCTTGCTGACATTGCGCTTCCCACAGTTTGGCATTTCGCTGACGCCGCGCTTCCCACAAGTTTTCACTACACGTGTCACACTCTCAGCGATCTGTCTCTTATACACATCTAGATGTGTATAAGAGACAGTATTTTTATATATATAGATTACATAACAACACATCATATGATATTACATTACAGTTACACACTTCAAATCTTTACACTAACCCAAAATTTCATTCCACATCGCTAAACCAAGAACTTTTAAGTTATTAAATAATACGTCACATCACAATATCATATCACATCTTATGAAATCACCTCACAGATACGCATTAAGAATGTTCTCACTAACTCAAAG